CTTCCTGGGGCCATCTCTTTGATTTGGTGCCTACCACCATGGTTAGCATGTAACAGGTGCTCAATAAATATTTGCTGAATTGGGGTAAAACTAATGAAACTCAAGCATGGTTGAGAAGTCTCTCCCTTCTTCCTCTCCTTCCAATTCCAACTCCAGCTCTTCTATTAAGTAAGGTATTTGGATTTTAATGCTGTTTTTCCAGTTAGGAGCTATGGACCCTTGGAGATCCATAATTAACTTTTTTTCATAGTTTTCATATAAAATGAATACAAACACATTCTGGATCATTGGGATAACCATCTAATACCAAGACCTGCCTTGTGATTTCAGTGTCTATGTGGGCTGTGCCTTGGTGCCAAGAGTTATAACTTTACCCCTTATGCTATTAAAAAAGGAATAGCACAGGGGCGCCTGGGTGGCTCAGTCAGTTAAACCTTCGGCTCAGGTCATTATAACAAAGGGTGTGAGCAAAGATGTGGTTGCTGGAACAGAGGAAAGAAATGAGAAAATTATGTCAATACCGGGCACTTGACACCCAATGAGAGGGGGAGAGCCACACAGAGCTCAAATGTACTCATATCTGGGCAGTCAGTACCACATGATGCTAGTAGTAGTAGAGTAAACATTACTAATTTAACGTTACTCTTCTGGGAAGGAACTTTTATATTTAATTTATAAATTTGTTTTGGCTTTATTCCAGAATTGTTCATAAGCTGTAACAGAAATTTATATCTGATTTAATATATAACTGTTTATATATAGTAAGGTAACATTATAAAAGAAACTAATTTAAGCCAATACTGGGGAGGCTTGAGAAAATCTTGCCCTTAAAATAGTGGAGGATATAGGTTTCTCTCACATTGAGAAACACTACACAAGAGCACGTGTTGGGGCTTTCCTATTTAAAATCGATTGCAAACACAAACACATTAGGTGTATCATTAACACGCTGGTGTGAAATAGTATGTTAGACCCTCCCTTTCTGAGAGTGGGCTTTGATGAGAGAACGCACAGCTAAGGGGCCTGACAGAGAAAATGTGGCCTCCATGCACTGGGGCAGGTCGTTAACCCTCTAAACTTCAGTTCCTTATCTGTAAAACAGCGGTTATCTGCAACTTCTTCACCGCAACGGTTAATGTGTAAAGCTGGTTCACAGAAAGGACTCAGTAGATCGTCATCTCTATTAAATACTGATATAGTGGGGAGAGAAGAGGAAAACTCTAGCACTAGATTCTTTTTTTTTTTTAATTTTTTTAATTTTATTATGTTATGTTAGTCACCATACAATACATCATTAGTTTTTGATGTGGCGATCCACGATCCATTGTTTTTGTATAACACCCAGTGCTCCATGCAGTACGTGCCCTCCTTAATACCCATCACCGGGCTAACCCATCCCCCCACCCCCTCCCCTCTAGAACCCTGTTTGTTTCTCAGAGCCCATAGTCTCTCATGGTTCATCTCTCTCTCTGATTTTCCCCTCTTCACTTTTCCCTTCCTTCTCCTAGTGTACTCCATGCTATTCCTTATGTTCCACAAATAAGTGAAACCATATGATAATTGACTTTCTCTGCTTGACTTATTTCACTTAGCATAATCTCCTCCAGTCCCATCCATGTTGATGTAAAAGTTGGGTATTCATCCTTTCTGATTGCTGAGTAATATTGCATTGTATATATGGACCACATCTTCTTTATCCATTCATCTGTTGAAGGGCATCTCGGCTCTTTCCACAGTTTGGCTATTGCGGACATTGCTGCTGTGAACATTGGGGTGCATATGGCCCTTCTTTTCACTACCTCTGTGTCTTTGGGGTAAATACCCAGGAGTACAATTGCTGGGTAGCTCTATTTTTAATTTTTTGAGGAACCGCCTCACTGTTTTCCAAAGTGGTTGTACCAACTTGCATTCCCACCAACAGTGTAAGAGGGTTCCCCTTTCTCCACAACCTCTCCAACATTTGTTGTTTCTTTCCCTGCCCATTTTTGCCATTCTAACTGGTGTAAGGTGGTATCTCAATGTGGTTTTGATTTGAATTTCCCTGATGGCTAATGATGATGAACATTTTTTATGTGTCTGTTAGCCATTTGTATGTCTTCTTCAGAGAAGTGTCTTTATTATGTCTTCTGCCCATTTTTTGACTTGATTATTTGTTTTTTGGCTGTTGAGTTTGAGAAGTTCTTTATAAATCTTGGATACCAGCCCTTTATCTGTAGTGTCATTTGCAAATATCTCCTCCCATTCTGTGGGTTGCCTCTTTGTTTTGTTGACTGTTTCCTTTGCTGTGCAGAAGACTTTTATCTTGATGAAGTCCCAAAAGTTCATTTTTGCTTTTGTTTCACTAGCTTTTGGAGATGTATCTTGAAAGAAGTTGCTGTGGCCGATGTCAAAGAGGTTACTGCCTATGTTCTCCTCTAGGATTTTGATGGATTCCTGTCTCACATTGACGTCTTTCATCCACTTTGAGTTTATCTTTGTGTATGGTGTTAGAGAATGGTCGAGTTTCATTCTTCTGCATGTGGCTGTCCAATTTTCCCAGCACCATTTATTGAAGAGACTGTCTTTTTTCCATTGCATATTTTTTTCCTGCTTTGCCAAAGATTATTTGACCATAGAATTGAGGGTCCATATCTGGGCTCTCTATTCTGTTCCATTGGTCTATATGCCTGTTTTTATGCCAGTACCATGCTGTCTTGGTGATCACAGCTTAGGCAACGTGATGCCCCCAGCTTTTCTTTTTCAACATTTCTTTGGCGATTTGGGGTCTTTTCTGATTCCATACAAATTTTAGGATTGTTTGTTCCAGCACTTTGAAAAATGTCATTGGAATTTTGATCGGGATGGCTTTGAAGGTATAGATTGCTCTGGGTAGCATAGACATTTTAACAATGTTTATTCTTCCAGTCCATGAGAATGGAATGCTTTTCCATCTTTTTGTGTCTTCTTCAATTTCTTTCATGAGTGTTCTGTAGTTCCTAGAGTATAGATCCTTTACCTCTTTGGTTAGGTTTATTCCAAGGTATCTTATGGTTTTTGGTGCTATTGTAAATGGAATTGTTTCTCTAATTTCTCTTTCTACAGTTGCATTGTTAGTGTATAAGAAAGCAACTGATTTCTGTGCATTGATTTTGTATCCTGCCACATTACTGAATTGCTGTATGAGTTCTAGTAATTTGGGGGTGGAGTCTTTTGGGTTTTCCACATAAAGTATCATGTCATCTACGAAGAGAGAGGGTTTGACTTCTTCTTTGCCAATTTGAACACCTTTTATTTCTTTTTGTTGTCTGATTGCTGTTGCTAGGACTTCTACTACTATGTTGAACAATAGTGGTGAGAGTGGGCATCCTTGACATGTTCCTGATCTTAAGGGAAAGGCTTTCAGCTTTTCCCCATTGAGGATGATATTCACTGTGGGTTTTTCATAGATGGATTTTATGAACTTGAGGCATGTTCCCTCTATCCCCTATACTCTGAAGAGTTTGAATCAGGAAAGGATGTTGTATTTTGTCAAATGCTTTTTCTGCATCAATTGAGAGGACCATATGGTTCTTCTCTCTCCTCTTAATTAATGTGTTCTATCACATTGATTGATTTGCAAAAGTTGAACCACCCTTGCATCCTGGGGATAAATCCCACGTGGATGATCCTTTTAATGTATTGTTGGATCCTATTAGCTAGGATTTTGTTGAGGATTTTGGAATCCATATTCCTCAGGGATATCGGTCTGTAATTCTCCTTTTTGATGGGGTCTTTGCCTCGTTTGGGGATTAAGGTAATGCTGGCCTCAGAGATCACGACTGACACCAAGGAAATAGAAACAATTATTAGAAATAATTATCAACAACTATATGCCAATAAACTGAGCAATCTGGATGAAATGGATGCCTTCCCGGAAACCTATAAGCTGCCAAGACTGAAACAGGAAGAAACTGACAACCTGAATAGGCCAATAACCAGTAACGAGATTGAAACAGTGATCAAACAACTCCCAAAAAACAAGAGTCCAAGGCCTGATGGATTCCCCAGGGTAATTCTATCAACCATTCAAAGGAGAAATAATACCTACTATACTGAAGCTGTTTCAAAAATAGAAAACAGAAGGAAAGCTTCCAGACTCATTGTATGAGGTCTAGCACTAGATTCTTAAAAGGCGCAATCACCGGCGGGGCTAAGAGGAGACCCGGAACTGTGGGCTCCCAGGAGTGAACTCAAGGAAAGCAGGCCAGCTCCGCGAGGAGGTGGCTCCACCAGCTGGTGCCCCTATGGAAAGCTGAGGCGGTGGGCTCAGCAGCCCGCCCGCCAGCCACTCTGGGCCCCACGCACCCCGCCTCTGCGGAAAGGGATGCAAAGCTTCGGCGGTCCTGTCACCCAACGCAGCTTTGCGTTCCTCGGAGGCACCTGAGAAACTGGGTGAAGCGGGAAGGACCTCGGTCGTCCCCTAAAAACTCAAGTGCACAGATTTTTCGCAACTCTTCAGTTTGTCGAGGGGCTCCCCATGCCCCAGGTGTAGCCCGCGTCCCCACTTCTAGGCTGGGGTTGGGGGCGACTCTGGGGGGCACCCGGTCTTCGCGGGCAAGCAGCTGAGGGCCGGCGGCGAAGACCCGAAGCTCGCTCGGGACGCTGCGGCCGAGCCCCCGGGGTGCGCGGTGCCGGAAGGGTAAAGGCGCACGGCTCCCGGGCCGGGCGGGCCCTCCGCGAGACTGGCGCGGACTGGCGCGGAGAGGCCCGGACCAGAGAGAGCCGCCGCGCCGCTGGGGCCCACCCGCGCGGACCGAACGGCGGCGAAACGCCCGGGCTGGCTGCCCCCGCTCGAGCCGGAGGCGGGCGGTGGGCGGCGAGGGGGGGCGCGCGGGCTGGGTGCGGGGGGGGGGGGCGGGCGGCGGCAGCGCGGCTTCCCCGAGGCCGGAGGCGGGGCGGGCGGGCCTCGGGAGGCGCGGGGGGCGGACCCGCCCGCTGCCGGCGCTGCTTGCCCGCCCGCCAGCTCGCACTCGGTCGCGCCGCGGGGCAGGCATGGGAGTCGCACGCGCCCTCCCGGCGCCCACACCTGTTGGAGCGGCGCAGTGAGCCGCGGCCCCGGCGGGCTGCTCGGCGCGGGTGAGTTCGGGCGCGGGCTGGGGACACCGCCGAGCGCGCGGGGAGCGCGGCGCCGAGAGCAGCGGGACAAAGGGCCTGTGCGCGCGGCGTGGGGTGACTGCGGGCTGCAGGGGGCACCGGGACTTCGCCAGGCCGCCCTCGGGGCTGGAGGGCTGGGACCCGCGGCCTGGAGGAGCTCCGCGGAGAGTCAGGGGCTGCAGGGCGCCTGCATTCACACAGTGTCACCGCGCAGCGGATGGGAAAGATGGGTTTTAAAGTGCTATCTTGGATGCTGGGTGGGAGTAGAGAAAGAGCCGGCTCTGGGCAAGCTCTCCCCCAGCTGGGCGATGACAACACTCCCATCTCCTCCGCGAGCGCGCGCGCACACCCGCCACCACTTATTTTCCTGGGGTTTTGCATATATGTATTTCAACATGAGCTGAACATTAATTTTTAACTCTGGGCACGTGATTTTGAACACATCTTAGCCAGCAAGAAAGTGCAGCAAACACAGGTTGGGGAATAGGATCTTTTCTATGGAGCCTTTAATTGATGACCGTGTGCTTCCTTCTAAACTGTGAACTATCCCCGTCGTTGGAAGCAAATACTTCTTCTTCGGCCTGTGGACGTTCACGAGTTAGCTTTTAAATAAAAGTTTGAAAAGTTTTAAAAAATTGTTTTAGAAGAGGAGGGAGAAGAATTATTTTGGTGAAGGAAAACCACCATTCCCCTCCAGAATACAAATTAGGGTTGCTTTCCAACATCTCACGAAAAAGCAGCTGATAAAAATCCGGTGTGTTTTATTGCCCATCGGGCGACACCCAGGAGACTTCAGAAAGAGAAACAGCCCCGGGCTGGTGGAAAGCTCCAGGTTGTTCAGGATCAGTGTGGGGATGGGCGGGCTTCCCTCAGCTCCGGAAAGGAGTCCCTCCCTGTGCGCTCCTCAGGAGCAGATAGGCCAATGCTAGCGTTATCCTCACGTGGCCACAGGGGAAGGAGTTGAGTTTATAGTTTGAAGTCAGCTGTGGCCAAAGCCTAATGCTAGTTAATGTGAGGATATTTATTGCATTTGTTTCAAGGTCCTCCTTGTGTATAAGAGCATTGAAAATAGGCCTTAGGACTGTGTGTCTCAAGAAGCCTGACAGTGAATTGGAGGTGGGGGGGAGGGATTTAGGAGAAATGCTACAAAAGCCACTACGTTTACTTGTGAAAGTTTGATCATATGCACACCTTCTGCACTCGAATAAATTGTTTCACTTGTGTTCTTCCCACGTAAATAGTCAGGAGATAACTTGTCATGCTTTCCTGTACCTGAGCGGGAAAGGAAGCATTCTTCCCAGGTAACTAATACGGATCTTATTTTTGTAACACCCACACCTTATTCAGGTAGATGGTGAATTTGGGTGCACTTTTCCGTCTGTAGTATCAGTGCCAAAGTGCCCATTAGTGGGTCTGAGAACATTGCTGGCCCCAGTCTTCAGTGTTTAATAGGCTCGGGTTCTCCCACATAGTTCTTCTCATAGATCTCTGAGGATTCAGTCCACCGGGCGTTATTCATGCGTAACTCCCACTGGCCCTGGAGAATTCCTTCCTCTTGGTCTCACCATTGACAGTTTGATACACTGTGTTCTTGTTCTGCCGCCAGGTTTGTCCCAAACTCCCTAGGGTAGTTCATTTTGCCTAAAAGCTGATACAGAAGAAGTTAAACTTGGTTTGACCATAAAATTATGTTTAGGGTGGCTGGGCTTGTGAACTCCCTGTATTTCTTTCCTGTCCGGGCTGTAATTCCTAAACCATTATATGATTAGGTCTGTTTTCCTTTAATAAGTTCTGTGACTCAGGAAAATGAGAGCAAGAGGGTTCACAGAGCTTTGTTCATTTTTAGGTATTTGCTTTAGGAATTAGCATGGTTTCACTGCTCAGTATTCCTGGCCACAGATTCCATGGAAAACCCTTTGTTAGTCTTCCAGATGGTGTCCAAAACTTTTATCTCCACAGACTTGCCCACTGTTTGTTTCGACATTACTGTTTATAGCGGTCACAGGAATTCATCTGTTGTACAATAGAGAATGTATGTCCTGAGGATTAGATTTTTTTTCTCCCAGCACTTGTTTGCTAGAGGAGTTCAGTCATTCTCCCAAACACTTGCCCTCTTGAGGAGAGCTGTGTTGTTGCAGTGTTGAAGACTAAGGTGCAGATCTGGGGCAGAGAAGTTTCAGTGCCCAGCCTCCAAGCAGATGGTGGGTATTTGTACGTCTCTGATAATGTGCACAGTCCCTTCACCATTAGATTATTAGTGGATTTGTGAAGTAGCAGCATCCTCATAAAGTATAAATATTTTTAGACCGTGGACAGCAGGAGAGTAGCTCATAATTGAGTGATGGAGCCCGGAATGTGTAACTCTTGTGAGTCAGATATACAGAATTGGAAAAGGAATAGTTTCTGTATTACTAAGCATGGTAAAAAATATATATATATATATTGCTTACCTTAGTTTTTCTTTCAGCTTTGTCATTCAGGTGAAGCGATATGTGAGAATAATTGGTTGAGAACTTTACAAGATAATTATGTATGTGACGAATCTATTCAGTAAAGGCTTTTTCCTAGAAATGAAACATTATAGACCTGAATTTTCTTCATCTAGATTTAGATATAATGAGGATAAGATTTGGAAGGTAAGGTTTGGAAATCTTTATTCCTTTTTTTTGTTAAGGGGTGCATATTTCAGACAGTTCTCTAAGGATAAGGTGATTCATTTGTGAAGGCAAGAGAGCATTTCAAGTTAATGGAATCCATTAGTTACCTTTCCAACAGTGAGATTATAAATGTTATTATATGTTTCCATCCTAGAGTTTTTGTTTAAGTAAACTTAAATGGGCATAGTGCAGGCTTGCTTAGAGTTTATAAAAATGGAAACAATAATTGTCTCCTGGGAAATTATTCAGGAAATTATCATCAGGTGAGTTGAGAAATTAATGCAAAGCCACCAACCTAATTTTAAAGCATCATGGTTATCATTGGCGTCTTATTAATGGGAAAGGAGTCAGGGTAGGGTGTGAATGCCTTGGGAAAGGGCCTTGGTGGGTGAAATTTCCCCCCTCACACTTTTCTAAGAGCCAGCACACCCAACCATCCTTCTACTCCGTTCTTGAAAGCCGCCCTCTGCTGGAGGCCTTTGTTTCCTTGGCGAACTGATGAGGGAAATCTTGTCTCCCAGATAGGCAAGAGATAAGCAAGATAAATTTTCCTTTTCCCTTCTGCCTCCGGACTCCTCAATTCTGTGAGTGTAGGCTGCCAAACAGTAAATGGTGGTGCAGACCCTGTTTGTGTACAGCATAGTGCTTGCCTTGGACTTTTGTGACCCTGGAAAATTACAAAATTAGAAAATCCTGGGCCTGAAAAGACCAGCACTAAAAAGACTAAAGAGATCATCCAGTTCAGGTTGCTATTCAGAATAGTTTCTAAACTACCCTAAACATACATTTGGTAAAGGGGTGAGCAGTTTATGAAGTTCGTAACCTTAATACAGATGTCACCCTAAACCCATTTGGGAGCCTGAGAACAGACAACTTTATCTCCCAATTTACAGTCAGTTAAAAACCATTACCTTGCACACCTCAAACTAATATAATTGTACTTCAATAAAATTTTTAAAATAATGAAAAAATTTAATCAGTTTGGAGTAATTTGACCTGCGTTAGTCTGCATTAATTTCTCAATCTGAATTAAGGTCTTTTTAATGCAGTTTTATAGTCTTCAGAGTTACAAAGAAAATTTAATCAAGATATAAACCATCAGAACATGATCTTATCACAAGTTAATGAGTTCAGTTTAAGCAATAACATAGGGAACTTGCAGGCAGTGTTTCAGACTAATGGAAGTTCATGTTTTTGAGGTATCCAAAAAGTATATTCCTAAAGGATTAAATCTTTACCCTACCCTGTTGGCTTAGCAGTCCTTTACTTATAGATGGCTAACTTCTGCTTCACTGGCTAAATGATCAGAATTTAAGTTGTAAGGACCCTGAATTAGGAATATTATTGAACGAATGTTAGATATTAACTAATATTCTATCTAGAACATTGATATTCCTTAGAGAATATTAATATCCTAATAATAATCTACAGTAGACTCTTTAGCATTCTCTACCAGCATCCTGTGATTTGTAAATGATCCCAAGGGTTCTTGGCACAGTCGTTTGTCCTCTCTCTGAGGAACAAATTCGATCCTGTATGCTGGGAGGCTGGAGTGAAGCTGTGGCCAGTGAGGAAGCCTCGCTGACTGCCCAGCCCTCATGCCTACGAAAAGACTTGTCTCTATTTCTCCAGACCCACAAACTCTCAGGAACTGGTTCCAAAACATTTTTTGAAAGACAGACATTGAAAGAAAAAAAAAATCTGTGACCTCACTGTGAGATAAGACACATTTCAAGGACTTTGAAAATATTTTTAAAATAGGTTTGCTGTAGAGGCAAAGCACTTGGGAAAGTGCAGTTAGAGTTAATTTTGCCTAAGAGGAGGTTAATTCATTAAGATCCAGTTCCTAGTTAACTATTTCAGACTCTTGCCTGCCATTCTCTTCCCTGGCACCCTTGCCAATGGACTATTTCAGTGTTTGGATAAAGACAGGTGCCACTGGGGGACTTCTGCTACAGTAGATAATTCAGGCTCTGCACTCCCAGGATCCATTTCACATATAAATTTCCAGCTTGATACTTGAAGGTGCACACTCGAGATGATGACCCATGCGAGCACGACCTAACTACCCTGTTCTTCGAGCACCTGAAAAGATGACCTACGGTTTGCGATACCTCATAGCAGAACACCATCTCCTCTCCTCCTCTCTCTCCCCTAAGAATCACATTTTGAGAATGGGAATGCTTGGCAGCTTGGGCCTCTGGATCCTGTGTTTTCTTTCTTAGATAAGCTGAAGTCAAACTTGGCCTAACACATCTGCTGGTCAGTGTTAGCAGGCATCAGCATTCTCCGCAGTAATCCAAGGGAGGAGGAGAAGGCGTGTAGGGGTCCCAGGCGCAGCCCTGTGGGCGACGCAGGATTCCTCGTAGTACATATCACACTTGGCAGGGATTCTGGTGTGGGGGGCATTTAGTTATCCAGACAACAATTTACATAGAGGAAAAGGCTGTCCAGGACCTAGATATGTTCAAGGACTGGGTCCCGAGCCAGGAGACAGGAATAATAAGACACAGAGCCATCTCCTGAAGTTTCCTAAAGGGCTGTCCTCACCACACCTAGCCCACCCCTGAAGTCCCCATTGGGGAGGAAGGCTTTCCTAGCATTAGCATCCCCTCCCTCACCCACTTAGAGCCTTTAGTCATGACAGTATCCACTCTCCCCACCAACAAGCACATGCAAACACGTGTGTGCACATACACACATACCCCATGGTTTCAAGGGCTTAGAGAAACCACTAGATGTATTATCTCCCCACAGAAGGGCCCAGGGACAACTCCTATTTCAAAAAAGGGAAGGAACAATTTCAAAGAGTCAGGAAGTCCCAAGGAATTACCTTTTCTAGGAACTCATTCTTTTTTTATCCCATCCTTGTTTTCTCTGGCAAAGGTAGAATCAGAAAGAGTCAAGCAAAAAGATCCCAGAGTTTAGGGGGGGGCGGGGCGGTGCGGGCAAGCACACTTCTTAGTAATATTGTGTGTGGATACTGGGACTGTGGGTTGGTATGCTCAGCTGGACTAGGTCAGATCAATGGGATTTTCCAGTTTTATGTAAAAAAAAAAAAAAAGAAAAGCAGAAGGAGCACCCCAAAGCAGGCCGGCAGGTCTGTACTCTCAAGAGGAAGAGAATGGGAACAAGGACATGGTTTCTTCCTGACTCCTGCTAGGTTCCAAAGCCTGGAAGACCTAACCCCTCCCTGTCCTCCTTTCGGGAACACTCCACCGTGAACACATTACCTTACCTGCCGCGTCAGCTTCTCCTGAACAGAAGATCCACAGCCAGTCAGAGCCAACTGGTGCTTGAATGTTTGTGAAAGTACTTCCCAGACTCGTTTTTCATTGTTGTTTTTCTTGTGGGATGATTGAGCCAGCTCTTTTAACATACATTTTAGGAGAAAATCCAAACTTCTTCAGTTAGTGTACACAGCCTTGCATAATACGGCTCCTGCCCCCTGCGTCCACCACCTGCTGTCTTCCACCCTTGCTGAGCAGTTTCTGAAATGCCCTTCGTGGTTGCATGTCTCTGTGTCCTTGCATACTACTGTCCCCTCCCTCAGAGTGTCCCCTTCACTCTGTCTTAGGTTCTCTAATTTCTCCTCACCTTCACCACCCACCTCAAGCATCACCACCCCTGGAATGGCTCCCCCGTTCTTGTTACTCCCCGCACCTGGATCTCTCTCTTTTTTTTTTTTTTTTTTAAGATTTTATTTATTTATTTGACAGAGAGAGAGATAGCAAGAGCAGGAACACAAGCCGGGAGAGGGAGAAGCAGGCTTCCTGCTGAGCAGGGAGTCTGATGCAGGGCTCCATCCCAGAACCCTGGGATCATGACCTGAGCCAAAGGCAGACGCTTAATGACTGAGCCACCCAGGCGCCCCTACCACACCTGGATTTCATGCCCTTTCCTTGAGCCACCCCATCATCCACATACATCTCTGTCATTAGCACTCAGCATGCATCATTCCAAAAATGTGGTTTTTATAGCCACACTAATCACTCACTCTTCGATGAATACAGGTACTCATTCAATAAATCTGTTCAATAAGTCTTTGTTGAGCGCTAGCATGGGGCCAAATTCAAGGCATTCAGCTGAGCCAGGAACATAGATACAAAGACCTGAAAAGTAACCAGCAGTAAAGCTCACAATGTGATACCTGATGCTAACTTAGAGCTTCAGATCTTTGACAGAGATCCTGTTAGAATGCCACAAAATCCAAAGGAAGAAGGAATATCTTGTTTGTTAGAGGCCTGACGACTCTGGAACTAAATTCATAATAGTTAAGGTTGTTTTAAATTGAAAGAAAAAAAGGGGGGTCTCATGCCCTCTTTGGAATCACTCCGCATTTAGAAGTGATAGGAATCCCAGTGGGCTGATGCTGTGGAGCTATCCCTCCTTGAGGCCTTGGGCCCTCAGTCAGCTGTGTTATTTAAATTTACATGAGCAAGTTGCTCTGAAGATTTTCCAAGCACAGGCTATACTGAGAATGAGCAGAAAGAAAGGCAGGTGGACCAGGGAGGTAGGAGAGGACAAAAGCTCAGAACCAAGCACAAAGAAGGCCCGAAATCACACAGAACCCAGGGCTGCCGGAGCAGCTCCTCTGGGGATGAGTGACTATTTGCACACCGCCTTGCACTGGGCCATGATTAGGGGCATCTTAGACGTGGAAGGGAATGAACACCCCATTTCATTTTGAGCACGGAAAAGTTCCCAGGTCAAGCCTTGTATTGTGAGACCATTATCTCGGGATTCCTCTCCACACCCTGATTCCTGAGGAGGGTTCACAGACTTAGAAACAATGACAGGCATGCTGGCGCGCTGTTTCCTCAGCCGGCCAGTGCTCAGCCCCTTACCCTCCTGACCTGCTTATCTTTGTTCCTACAGAGTGGTACGCAGCATGGCGGGGATCCCAGGGCTGCTCCTCCTCCTCCTCATCTGTGCTGTCGGGCAGGTGAGCCCCTATGGTGCCCACTGGAAACCCACCTGGCCCGCTTACCGCCTCCCCGTGGTCTTGCCCCAGTCCACCCTCAACCTAGGCAAGCCAGACTTTGGGGCCGAAGCCAAATTGGAAGTGTCCTCCTCATGCGGACCCCAGTGTCATAAGGGAATGCCACTGCCCACTTACGAAGAGGCCAAGCAGTACTTGTCTTATGAAACGCTTTATGCCAATGGCAGCCGCACGGAGACACAAGTGGGCATTTATGTCCTCAGCAGGGGTGGGGGACAAGAGTCTTCGGGAAAGTCTCGGAGGAAGCGGCAGATTTATGGCTATGACAGCAGATTCAGCATTTTTGGGAAGGACTTCTTGCTCAACTACCCCTTCTCAACATCAGTGAAGTTATCTACTGGCTGCACGGGTACCCTCGTGGCAGAGAAGCATGTCCTCACAGCTGCCCATTGCATCCATGATGGGAAAACCTATGTGAAGGGAACCCAGAAACTTCGAGTGGGCTTCCTGAAGCCCAAGTTTAAAGATGGCGGTCGAGGGGCCAACAGCTCAAGCTCTGCGGTGCCGGAGAAGATGAAGTTTCAGTGGATCCGGGTGAAGCGCACCCACGTGCCCAAGGGTTGGATCAAAGGCAATGCCAACGACATTGGTATGGATTATGACTATGCCCTCCTAGAACTCAAAAAACCCCACAAGAGAAAGTTCATGAAGATTGGGGTGAGCCCTCCTGCCAAGCAGCTGCCAGGGGGCAGAATCCACTTTTCTGGTTATGACAATGATCGGCCAGGCAACTTGGTGTACCGCTTCTGTGACGTCAAAGAGGAGACCTATGACCTGCTGTACCAACAGTGTGACGCCCAGCCCGGGGCCAGCGGCTCCGGGGTCTACGTGAGGATGTGGAAGAGGCAGCAGCGGAAGTGGGAGCGGAAAATTATTGGCATTTTTTCAGGGCACCAGTGGGTCGACATGAATGGTTCTCCACAGGATTTCAACGTGGCCGTTAGAATCACCCCTCTCAAATATGCCCAGATCTGCTATTGGATTAAAGGAAACTACCTGGACTGTAGGGAGGGGTGACACAGTCTTCCTTTCTGGCGGCACCTGGTGGTGTTCGTGTACTTATTTTAGAAGAGGCCAAATATTGTCATTGGGGTGTGTGTGTGTGTGAGATGATATCTTTTACCTAATTTTTTAAAACTGCAAGATGCCTGGCTTTATTATTTGAAAACTGGTTTGTGTATCATATATCATTTAAGGACTTTAAAGGCATACTTTTGCATAGAAATCAAAAAAACACCATACTGATGTTTGGGATGATAGGGAATATTTAGCAAGTTAATCTTTCACTTTTTGAGAACTTTGACTTTTATTTCATCTGAACTTGTTTCAAAGGTTTATATTAAATATGTGGCATATGGGAGATATAAATTCTTATGTGTGTATATATGTGTATTTTCTCCTGAGATTCATCTTGGGGTTTTTTTGTTGTTGTTGTTGCTGTTGTTGTCGTTGTTGTTTTCAATGCCTAATCATTAACATTTGCAGATGGCAGTGTTCCCTACCGCATAAAACTCTTAGGAACCTTCATGATACTTCTTAGGTATAATATTTTGGATTTGGAGGTGTTTGCACAGTAGTCCTTGATGAGTAAAAGAATTTGTTGACTATATTGGTACACATGTTAAACTATATCTTACAGTAAATCAGTATCCCAAGCTGCTTGCAGTTTTGAAATAGTTTCTCTCCCGAAGACTATTACTCTACTTTTGGGGAAGACCCAACCTATGGCCCTGTCAGCTTAGTGACACACTAAAGTGGGCAAGACCCTTTATGCCCATCCTTCCACTTAACAGGATTTTACTCACATTTCTTGAACTCGCTCTTTTCCAGAAGACAATAATCAGGGCCTAATTAGAACAGGCTGTATCCCTTCCCAGCAAACGGTTGTGGTCCCACTAAAAACAATCATTTCATTTTACCCCTGGAGGATAGCACATCTCATGTTTTATCATTTGGATGGAGTAATTTCAAATGAATTAAATTCCAGAGAACAATGGATGCATTGCTTGGCAGATGTTACAACAGAATAAGCGCTTGTCTGGAGCCTGGCATGATCCTACAACCTAATCAAAATTATTCTACAGAGTTTTCAGTGTGCTTTCAGGGAGCAATGGACTTGTGCAATTTGGAAACTTCTCTCCTTTACTGATTTTATAGTAAAAATATTTGGACGGTGCATTAAGAAAAACCAAGAGGACCCACCCACCCACCCACCCACCCCCCGGCTTTAAAAGGGCCTCTTTTACTGGGGATACTTGAGGCACATATAATCAAGTACAGTAGTAAAATGGAAATCGGGAGAATGCAAAGTGGATCAGAATTCCCACTCCAGGAAACGTCTTTATGAATGTTTTATCCATATGATAATCACAGTTTGTAAAGAAAAGAATGTGACTTATTTTATGTCTTCATTTTATGCCTCTTAGCCTGAGCGCGTCTTCCTAAAGGTATCAGTGTGGCGAGAAAAAAGAGCAAAAGGTTTACAGGACAGATGTCTGCTGGGCTTGTCCCTTAGGGAATATCAGCCTGAATTGTAACTCTCTGCGAGGACATTCAGATACGGCACTGAAGCTTAAACTTTCTCCGGGTGGCTTTTTGCTTGTGTTTCTTAAGCTTTTCAGAAGAATAATCCTGATAAGACACTCAAGAAATGTACAGCCACAGTGCTTTCTTCAGATCACGTAAGAAATACTATGCAAAGAGATGTAAGGCTGCCAGGATCCTTCTGAGTTCCAGTATAATTTGCTTTGAAATCTAGCAGGAAGCTAGCATGAGAAAGAAGAGTGGTCTGCATCCCCTTGTTTGGTATTTGGGGGCTTTTGTTTTTGCTCTTGCTTGATAGGAAAAGAAGTTCACTGAACACCTAGACAGGACTGATTTAAAAAAAAAAAAAAGATGCTCCTTTTGTGAAGCACCTGATTTCCTGATTTTGATTTTTTGTAAAGTTGAAATTTCCCTCCGCAAAGGTAGGCAATGGCACAAAGTCAAAATAATATCAATATTTAGTTCACAAATAGGTGTCATTTGCTCAAGAATAATACATGCTGTGTACGACAGAACTCATAGATGGTAAAATAACATGTCCATCTCTTCAGTAGTAATAAAAGGAAGCATGGTATTAAATTGTGGAATTTGAAATAAAGAATGGACCCATGATATTAATATATCATTAATATATCATTTAGTGTTTTATATCAGTTTATATCAATTAGTGTTTTACATGCATTAGTTATACATCGTAAGGATATATTTCTAGTAAGGCTAGTAGAACAACATTCCTAAAGTGTGTGCCATAAACACTCATCCCTCCAGATTTTCTACGAAGAACAAAAAGGGCACCATCATCAAGGAGGAGGGAGATGCCTCCCTGTACTCCCTTTCCTTATCAGGGATTCATTTGCCTGTTTGCACTTTGAAAGCTCTAAGAAGTCCTGTAGTAAAGAGACATGGTAATGTTTTAAAATCTGCACTTCAATAAAGATCTTTGATCACTGAACCCTTGTTTTGTCATATAATGCCTATGAGCAATTTAGTGTTCTAATAAATACATTTGGGGGATCTCTGTAGCAGCCCTTGGTCAAGGCGATCGTGCGGAAAGTATGATGAGCCCTTAGTGGCATCAGGTGTTGGTGCCTTTGGGGTTTAACCAGAACACGGGATCCAGGATTCAGAAAGGTTCGGAGGGTAAAATGGGAGAGAATAAACTTGCAAATTATTTGTCGCTGAGAGAAAGTTGTGGCAGAATCTGGGACATTGTTTTCCCCAGTAGACTTTATTCAGAATTTTGAATTTTAGAAAGGAGCTAGTCCAAAAAAATGGAAAAATAGGGCTAAAGAGGTAAAGATATGTGAGCCAGCCAGTAGTGGAGTTGTAGATGTATTTTTTCTTTTGGGGGATCAAAAATGGATTTAAAATGACTGGAAAGCAAGTTGGAACATCAAGATCATGCTCTTTGTGTGACCCCATGCCCTGCTCAGTACGAGGGCAAGTCCCCAGGGACACCGGGTCAGTATTTAAGGTAGTGATCTCTAACACCTACCAGAGTCTCTAGTCCAGAGCTTGTTGAGGACGACAGGTGTGCACTGGAATAAACACCTTCTGTTTGACGGACCACATGCTACTGGAGGGTAGACAGCCACCCAAGGGGCACCGGGCAAGTTCTGACAGCAGTCCTCGGCACTTGCTCTGGAGGGGCTGATCACACTCCTGGGCCACGGAGGCTAGTAGACGGTCCCTACACTGGCCTGGCTCTCCTTCTTGCATTGTTTGAGTTCTACTTTTCATGGCTGGCCCTTTTCTTAGTCCTTGTTACGAACCAGCTCAAGGATACCTTGAAGTTGCCACTGTCAATTGATTTCTATGGCTATTTGGTAGAATGGCTATTTAATTTATCATCCAGAATGGGGTTTTTTGAGCCTGAATGGGAAGTCTGTGAATAATGAGGTTAGGACAACGGGCATGTACCAGGTAGGTCCCAGGAAATCCAGCATGTCTGCTCAACCCTAACTGGTAAGCCCTTCAAAGCGCTGTCCGGAATGCAGCCTGACAGCCAGGCTTGGTAACCTCAGAGCAATGGTGGGGCTGCAGCCTCCTGCCTGTCTCATCTCTGGGCTGCCACAGTGGTTCCTACTACAGGCCTTCTTTGCCTGGAGCATTGGAAGAGGGCTTCCAATGGGGGAAGGGCATTTAAAAATCCTTTTGATGGGGTGGCATCTAGAGCAGATAGGTGGTAAACATGGACCATTTCTAGCAGATAACGTATCTGTTTTTAGTCTGCTGTTGGCCCAGAGAAAGAAAGAAACCAGATTCCAGGATTAGAATAAATAAGGCTAAGGGCTGGGACAGCACACTGGTGTGGGAACATGATGGCCTTGGAGCTGGGCAGACTGATTCCATAGTTGCCTGGTTCCTTTTGGTGAATAAATCTCAATGCAGTTTAATTTAAAACTTAAAACCCTCCTATCTGATTCAGAGATCCTCTCTCTTCTAGGTCCAGCTCCTCCAGTGGGCTGGCGTGGAGCAGAGAAAGAGGGAAAGGGCAAATGTCTGTGTCCTCTCCTCAGTGATTGCTACTTCTCAGGTAACACCTGCTCTTCCATCCTTCTTAGCACATACCTCTGGTGATGCAACCCTCTGCCTCCTGTGGTTGGGACATACTTAACTGGCAGACAGCCCCCTCCAGTGGTGAACCAGCAAAATACCCCGAGCCCAGGCTTGTCACACATAATTGGCTTATTGAAGATTGGGGTATGGGGAAAGAATGTTCCAGGCTGAGGGAGCTGGAGTGTGAAGGCCCTTGAGGGTCTGCTCAAGAGGTGAAATGAATGAAGGGGATTAAAAAATACAAACTGCCAGCTATAAAATAAGTAAATTATGGGGATGTAATTACAACATGGTGACTATAATTAAAAATACTGCATTGCATATTTGAAAGTTTCTGAGAAAGTAGATCTTAAAAGTTCTCATCACAGGAAAAAGAAATTTGTCACTATGTATGGTGACAGACATTATCTAGACTCGTGGTGATCATTTCACAACAAATACAAATAAATAGTTATTATGTTGTGTACCTGAAACTAATATCATATGTCAATTATGCCTCAATTAAAAAAAGAATGACACTTAAGTTTGGGGGCTGAGCTTCCAGGCAGATTCCAGGTACCATCTGCTGAGAAGGGAAGGACTGGGGGAGGGACTAGGTTTGGGGTCAGGGGAATGAAAATCAAGAATTTTTGTTGGTCATGTTAGGTTTGAAAGAATAGACACCCAAGTGGAGAGGTGCCTAGGTGGCTCCATCGGTTAAGTGTCTGACTCTTGATTTCAGCTCAGGTCATGATCTCAGGGTGGTGGGATCAAGCCCCGCGTTGGGGCTCTGTGCTCAGCAAGGAGTCTGCTTCTCTCCTTCTCCCTCTGCCCCTCCCACTGTGTTCTCTCTCTCAAATAAATAAATAAATCTGTGAAAGAAAGGAAAAGAAAGGAAGGAAGGAAAGAAAGGAAGAAAAAAAAGAAAGAAAAGGAAAGGAAGGAAGGGAAGGGAAGGAAGGAGAAAGACTAGATGCCCAAGTGGAGATGTCAGGTAAGCTATTGCTCAGTAAGGATCTCCGCTTGTGGAGTTCAGCAGAAGGATCTTGAATCAGCACGTGGGATTTAAAACCACAGAGCGAGATAACATCACCAGGGGAGAGAATGGGAGCATGAGGCTTGAGAAGAGGACTGAGGACAGAATCCTGGTCCACCAATGTTTAGAGGTTGGGTTCATGGAGGAGGAGGAGGAGGAAGAGGCAGCTCAAAGGCTGGGAAGAAGCAGCCCATGAGGTCAGACGAAAACCGTGAAAATGTGGTCTCACAGAAGCCAAGAGAAAAAGGTCTAAAGTCGAGTGGGTGAGGAGAGAGGGCGAAGGACCAGGTTGCATTTAGAAATGTCCCTCTGGCTGCAG